CGAACTCATCGCTGGAAGCCCGCTTGGAAAAATTCTGGGAGATAGAAGATAACTGTTATAAACTATCGCTGGTGCGCGCAATTACAGAGCATGAATGTGAAGAACATTTTCTCCGAAATACTACGCGCTGCTTGCTCACCAACAAATTCATCGTACGCCTCCCCTTCATCGAAAATCCCGCTGGGTTAGGCAATTCACTGGAAACTGCTCGCCGAAGATTTTTTCGCAATAGAAAGGAGACTAGAAAGCAACGAGGAGATGCGGCAAGAGTACAAGGCGTTCATGAACGAGTATAGTGAGCTAAAACACATGGTTGATCCAAGGGAATTGACGTCGAAGGTGGGTACCTACATTCCCCACCACTGTGTTGTGAAGGTGGATAGTTCGACAACCAAGCTACGTGTGGTATTCGACGCTTCATGCCGCACGTCCAATGGAAAAGCGCTGAATGACATTCTACACGTAGGGCCCACACTACAAGATGACATAGTTAAAATTCTCCTTCGTTTTCGAACTCATCGCTTCGTCTTAATGGCTGATATTGCCAAAATGTATCGGCAAATCATCGTTGACTCACGTGACGCCAAATGGCAGTGTATTTTGTGGCGCAATTCACCTTCAGAACCGCTAACGACATTTCAACTGCAAACTGTAACATACGGCACCAGTTGCGCTCCATTCTTGGCAGTTCGTTGTTTGCAGCAACTTGCACGCGAAAACATGAAAGCCTACCCCGTAGGAGATCGAATCACCCATCGGGACTTCTACGTGGACAATTTAATGACAGGAGGGTCTACTGTAGAAGAAGTTATCAGAATAAAATCTGAAGTCACCGCATTACTAGCATCGGGAGGCTTCCCCCTTCGCAAATTCGCCTCTAACTGCAGCGAAATTATTGCAGGCATACCCAGCGTGGACATGGAGGAGATTATCACAGTTGATGACATGACCTACATAAAGGCGCTTGGGTTGAAATGGTCACCAACTAGCGATCAATTCCTCTTCTCGTACAATTCGTCGCAACACACTTCACCGAAGGCTACCAAACGTACCATATTAGCACAAGTGGCAAGTTTCTTCGACCCCCTAGGCGTACTTAATCTTATCATCGTTAAGTGCAAAATTTTGATGCAACACCTCTGGAAACTGCGTTTAGCGTGGGATAAAGTGTACCGCTCTCTATTTGCACAGAATGGGAGAGCATATGCCAACAACTAGCCCTCGTCAACCGCATTAAAGTGCCACGGTATGTATGCTTTAACAATAACACTAACCTACATGCCTTTGCGGATGCAAGCGGTAAGGCATATGGGGCCTTACTGTCTGTATTTATGCTGTCTCTCACAATGACAACGCGGTGCAGTCAACGCTTATTTGCGCTAAGTCACGAGTGGCACCAACGAAGGAAATCACCTTGCCCAAATTGGAACTATGCGCAGCTCTGCTACTCTCAGAGCTGCTTCAGTCGGTCTTGGAGACATATAGCGCGCGGCCTAGCAATGTACACTGCTAGTCTGACTCAACGATCACCTTATCATGGTTGCAGCGTGAACCACATCACTGGACCACGTTCGTAGCTAACCGGGTGGCAAAAATCCGGCGCATCACGGCTGACTTTACATGGCATCACGTCCCGTCCGAGGAAAATCCAGCGGATTTGGTGTCACGTGGGGCTTCAGTAGAGGGGCTCATCGGTAATAACTTGTGGTTTCATGGACCAGCATTCCTGGCAAAGAACAGTAGCAGCTGGCCACGCAATCCAGTAGACGCTTTACAAGAAGTTCCAGAGCAACGAATGCTTTGTTTTTCCGTGACATCATCGCTACAAGAAGATATCATCGCTGAGCATAAGTACGTGAACAGCTACAGCAAACTTCTTCGTATCTTCGCTTACGTCAGACGGTTTACTTCGTCGCTGCGTCATCGTTTTGTTGAATCTGGACCGATTACTGCCAGAGAACTATACGACTCGTTGTTGACTGTATGTCGATACATACAGCTCGTAGCGTTCGCCGATGATCATAAGTCACTGCACACATCTGGAGTTAGTCGTAGTACTAAGCTCCATCAATTATCGCCATTTCTACACGACGAAATAATCCGGGTTGGTGGAAGAATTTCGAACTCATCGTTGCCTTGGACCACAAGGCATCCAATACTTCTTCCAAAAACGCACCCATTCGTGCGTACCCTCATTGAAGCGTTTCATCGCCAACACCTCCATGCAGGTTGCCAAACTCTGTTGAGCATTCTTCGCGATAGATTTTGGATTATCAATGCTCGAAGCATCATCAAACAGGTAATTCACAACTGCATTTTGTGTTATCGCAACAAACCCAAACTGGAACAACAGCTCATGGGCGCACTTCCTCGAGAACGTGTGGAACCCGCTCATCCCTTTGAAGTAGCTGGTGTAGATTATTGCGGCCCTTTGACGATCACGCAACGCATCAGAAGCAAGGGCCCCCTCAAAGTGTACATAGCGCTGTTTATCTGCTTCACAACAAAGGCGGTGCACCTGGAGTTGGCACCAGACCTAAGCACACCATCGTTCATTGCCGCCCTAAAGCGCTTCATTGCGCGCAGAGGCAAATGTCGAACAATCTTCTCTGATAATGCAACAAATTTCGTCGGGGCAAATCGAGAGCTGCGAGAGCTTTTATCTGCATTCACGTCGCAACAGCACATCGATAAGGTTCAATCAGGCAATCAGGAGAAGGCATAGAATGGAGATTCATACCCCCACGGTCACCCCACTTCGGTGGGCTATGGGAAAGCGCAGTAAAGCGTGCCAAGTATTATCTACGGCGCGCTGTCGGCTCTCATCTGCTCACATTTGACGAGCTACACACGGTTTGCTGCCAAACGGAAGCGATAATAAACAGCCGCCCACTAACGCCTTTATCTTCGAGCCCCGACGATCTTCGTGCGCTTACCCCTGCGCATTTCTTAGTTGGCAGAAGTCTCACCACTGTCATCGAACCATCGCTTCAACAAACTTCTACCGGATTACTCGCCAGGTACCAAATTGTTCAATCAGTACAACAAGGCTTTTGGGAACGATGCAGCGCACAAAGTGGAAGACTACATGTCAAAATTTGCAGAAGAACGACCTGGTTCTTATCAAGGAAGAATCCTCACCACCTATGAAGTGGCCACTGGGTAGAGTGGTCGATATTTTCGCCAGCAAAGATGGTGCAGTACGAGTGGTTCTTATCAAAACCGCTGATGGAACATATAAGAGAGCCATAACTCGTGTATGCAAGCTACCTATCGATTCGTCGTCGCCGCAACATCAATAGTTGGAGCCAAGCTTCCAAGGGGGGGAGAATGTTCGAGCGTTAAGCTCTCACTATACTTGTCGTCGCAAACCCTTCGCACTTTCGTTTTCGATAGCTACGCCACTGGCTCATACTTTTCATTACTCATGCTTCGGTCGCTCTACATTGCACATTCGTCGCTGCATTGCACTTCATTGTTGTTGCTAACGCACCGCTAATCAGCAGCTTATGCAAAGGTGCGTGCATAAACAACACAATTTTTGGACCATCGTTGCGCGCGTCACTCGTCGTAGCGGTTATAAATTCTTCGCTGCACAAACAACAATAAGCATCGCTAAACCGCACATTTCCATATCGCTCTTCTCCCGCTATTCGTCGTTATTAATATTTAAGCATAAGCAAATAGTTTAAGAAATTGTCTGTACAGTCCATTTGAAGATCTCCTAGCGTACGGAGCAATAAAGGCATAAAACCAGACTTCAATTTGTTAAATTATTTTTTTGCATTCGACAGCCGGTAAAAACCATTACTCGGCTCGACCAAGGTCCTTCGAGCCGGATCGAACGGCAATCGCAGTTAATTTTCTGTATTTTCGCATCGTGAAATCTGACCACTTAACTTTAAACATAAAAAATTTTTGCCTTGATAATGGATGCAGAGGGCAAAGCAGATCCACAGGTTGGCGACGCGGCGACACCACCAAGGTCAAGCAGCAACAACAACATTCGCGTTAAGGAGCTGCAGCGAGAACAGTTATGCTGTCGAGTTGCTGATCTACGTGAAAACTTGCTTCACCTCAACGCCATGACACCCTCGCAACTCGAGACTAAGCTAGCGCTCCTCGAGCATCATTTCACCACTTTCGAACGCTTGCAATCAGAGCTGGAGTTTCTAGATGACTCGCAATTTGAATTGGATCATCGCATCGTCTTCGAAGAGTCTTTTTGTGAGGTGAAAAGTACCATCGTCGAACGTCTAGCTGTACTTCGAAGAAGTGATGGCCTCAGTAGCACCATAGTCCCTGCACTAAATTCTTCGTCGTCACCGCCAGCCCGGCATAGTTTGCCTAAGCTGCAGCTTACTAAATTTAGCGGCATACTGAGTGGCTAGACTTCTACAACATGTTTAAAGTCCTTGTGCACAACAATGCTGGACTTGATGATATTGAGAAATTTGCTTGTTAACCGCTATGACAATAAGCGGTATATTTTTCAATCACACCTGCAAGCTATCTTCGATAATGGGGCACTCAGTCACCCAACCGTCGTTTCTCTTCGGGAATTCATCGATTCCATTAACGCTCATCTACGTGCCATACAGTCATTGGCATCGCGCAGTCAAATCGCTGATGGGATTTTACTCCATCTCATCGTGGCAAAGTTGGATCATGAAATGCAGCTCAAATGGGAAGAAGAAGTGTCAGCCAAGTGGGACAATTCAGCAAATACTTCGCTCCAACTTCCATCGTGGGATGATCTAGCTTCGTTCATTGAGCGACGCTGCCAAACAGTTAACATGGTAAAGGCCAACAGAAGCGCATCGGGTAAGGTCCCGGCCGCAAAAACCCCCGCCCGTTCATCGAAGGTTAGTTCAGCATTGGTCACGTCATCGAGCAACAACAAATGCCCACTATGCGATGAACTCGCCACACACAGTGCATTCAAATGTGACAAATTCACCGCCATGGATCCAATGCAGAGGTATGATCTTGCTAAGAAGAAAACCCTTTGCTTGAACTGTCTGAGTAAAGGCCACGTATC